GTTTCACATGATATGTGATGAAGAACTAGACTTTTACAGAAAGCGACAAACTATATAAATATTGTATCAGCTTTTATTCTGCAACTTTTATGAATTTCGTATCTTCTTTATGCAAAAATGGTGATTTTAATGGGCCTGGGATGTATTAATTGTTGAAACACATATTAAAAGGCCAAAATGAGAAGACTTAATTGCCCAATCTGGACAACATCCAAGTACAGAAAAAGCTTATCTAAGTTCTGATGATTAAATAAACAGCCTGATAAAGTGCTTCACAAAACGAGAGTATTGTAACTGTCTAACCTGGTCAATATCTGACCTCAGTTCCTTCATGTCTCCCTTGAATTATTATACACATTCTCAACTAAAGACGCAAAATTATTCATCTTCAACAGGATCAAAATCTTTGATCTTCACATCAGCATCATCTTCACCAAACTGGATGCAGTTGTCGATGCATGATAGCACATACTGTATGCTGCATTAAGAGAACAATGTAAGGTTGTAAGTGATACTCTTCAAATGTTGAAGGGTATATGCATGACTTATCTATCCACTTTGGCCATGGGCAAGAGTAGCTGCCCATGGGATACAAATATAATTGGTAACCTTGGAAAGCATAGATGTAAGAAATAAAAAAATCATTTTCCTTGATTAGTAAAGTTTAAATATATGATCATTTTCCAAATGATATGGATGGTTATTAAGCAGCAAAAGAACCTGCAAGACAGTCATAAAGAAGAACCTCAAATATCAATTATGGATGGATAAAACCGCAACATGTCTCAACGAGATTAGCCATGCCCCCTTGGTAGTCGTAATCAAGTAGGTCAGTGCATGAAGTCGATGATGAGGGCCAATGATAGAACAACGACAGATGCAATATCTTCCTGCAATTACAAGAATCTACTTTGGTGATTTTTTGTTTGATCCAAGATCACACAAACAGACACACAGACACACAAAAAACATACAAAACAAAAGAAAATCCATCTCTTCTTTTTTTCTTTCATCATGGTGTCTTTATTTTTGTAAATTAAAATCTAAGGACCATGAGACCAAATATCAACCATGAAGAACCAGTTGCATTTGCATGTTTGAAAGGTAGTATGGTCTATACATATATTTACACCAAACGAAGGATACAGAAGTACAGAAAAGAATCTCCTTATAGAATAATTCCTGAGTTTTCTATTTAATTCAATTTGCATGTATGTCTGCTTGTCTGTCTATATTTGTGATGAAGCAAAATATAGTTATATACTTACTGATTTGGAACCAATGAAAATTGAATAAAACATCAATCATAAGAAACTATTTAAATAGCCTCAAGGCACAAGGTCTTTCCTAGGATGTGGGTTACCTGCTCTCCTTCTCAAGTCGAGTGGTATAAACTAGAAAGTTGACCATGCTAAAATCATCAACCTAAACATAGAACAAAGATTACAACAATCAATTGCATGATTAATAGCATAACTAGTGTAAACTTAAGTAACAATTTCAGTACCAAAGTAGACATTATAAGTTTGTTTCTACCATGAGAGCTAGCAACTAGTTATTATAATAAAAAAAATAGATATAATACAAGTCATAGGTTTTTCAAACACTCTTCATGGCTCAGAATTCAGTCTATAGCCAAGGACTGATGTATCAAGTCACTGCAAAGTCTTCTATCAAACAAGCTGCATCATTTTCTCTTAATGTGGTTATTAGCAAGAAGAAATACATCTCAGAAAGATAAGCTGATCATTATCAGCTCAACATGAATGTTTGACCCTCATATATATATATATATATACATATATATATGTATACATATATATGTATATATGTATATATATATATATGTAT